TTCTTGATTAAATTATTTAGAATAGTCAGACGTTTCACATAATGGCATTTTTATCTATTTACGAAGTAATTATTTTTTTTTTTATAAATTATGATAAATACAGTACATTATTATTATTAATCAATAACGTCACTTACCTGCGTGTGTGATGCCAGTAACCAACCGAGAATTGACGCAACAACGGCGACTGTTAACACAAAACCAATCATCAAAAACAAACGAACAATTTTCTTCAGCGTTCGGGGTGAGAAAAATCTCCCGCAGACACACGTCAAGCAAAGTCCTCCATTTTGCGTCAAAAATAGCATTTCCTGCCTGGAATCATTTAGCGACGTGTCTATCCGAAGAGAAGTGTTGATGGGTGAAAGTGTCAAATCACCGAGACGAGTTTTTCTTTTCACAAAATGCGCGTTAAAATCATTTTCCATCTTATAGCCGTTATAGTCGTCAATTTCCTCCGTCAAAGGGTCATCTTCATCCTCATTGTCATTTTCTCTGCTCAAAGCCGTTGCTCGAACGAGTGTCTCTGAAAATGGACTTACGATTAGTCTTTTGGTTAGCGCAAAAATCGACATTAAAATCATTTTGCAATCTTGTAGGGGTTTTCAAGTTTAGGTGAGAATATTCGAACACTGCCGACGGTCCCCGTTCCACGTTGGTATTTCAAAATCTGCGGGAATCCCAAACAAGGGGTTTTCACCTCGCCATTGTGACGTCACTGGTATACCCTTCAATGGCGTATACCATAATTCTAGTGGGTAGGGAAACTATTCCCGTCCAAAGTAATTGAAAACTTCGTACGTTTATGCACGCCGTATCATTACATAGTTACATGATTGTCGTTATTCGTTGAATATTATTACTATTACATGACAGAAGGCAGTATTGTTGATAAAATAACCAATATCTAATGTTTTGAAAATATCAAGAATGCTAAGGGTACCTCTCTTGACCTTCTGCGAGGCATTGTGGGACATACGACATCGAATGGCCGATTTCAACATCGTTCACAAATAACTTTGTGGCACACAAATCCAAATTTTCCGTGATAACGTCCAATTTGACTTGAAGGGTCAGATATTTACATAATTTAAGAATGTCTAGAGGTAGGTTATCTATATTTCACTGATTCAAAATGTTTTCAAGTGTGAAAAAAATCTTATATTTTGAACACATCTTGTAGCTGTGGAGTTCATCATGTGGTAAAACTTACTAGTATTGTTTCGGGCGGGGGGGGGTGCTGAAATTAGGGGCGGTATAACAAACAAGTCTATGAAAGCTGTGCGTGAAATCTTTTTTGACAAAGGCAAAATTGATGCAAAAAATACAAGCATTAATATACCTATACTGTACAATATGTACAGTTGTCTCCAATATTGTACCCCCCCTCAAACTAGACCAATGTAAAACCTGTATTGTAGAATTGTGTAAAGTCTCACAAAGAAGACATAAAAACGGAAATTATGAAGTGGTATTGTGGGTACTCTAAGTAAATGGCATGGGTAGCTCTGTGGACACAGATAACCAGACACCACTTTCACTTAATCCTAGATAGATCAAAAGGGTGGTGGTCATGTAAAGTAAGTGAGATATGTGTTGATAAACATTAATTTCCCCCAAATTCATTAAGCTTTCCCAGTGGCAAGCACAAACACAAGATTTGATCTGGCTAGCACTGTTCACTAAACACCAACTTGGACTCTTTAGAATCCTTTCATGAGTGTGTTCCAATCATCTCATGGTTATAGCCGGTTACAAACAAATCCTAGATAACTGATCGCAAAGATCTGTTGGAAATGTATGATCTAGGTTGGATCTAGGAACTGTTGGACAATAAACTTGGAACCAAGACAACATATCAAGACATAGACCTCAACATCGGCATGTGACCAGATCTGTTGCCAATTTGGAGACAGCATTATGTGCTCAGCTTCACAAATCTTTGTTCACTGTGACCTGAATCCATCACAGTTTAATGAAAAGCGTGTCTGTATGAATGAAAATAAACCTTTATACTGTACATGTATTTTGTTATGTCCTTTATGTCCACTGTAAAATGGTTTAATAACACAAATTTTTCTCACAAATTTTATATGTCTGTGAAAAACACAAAATTCTGTAGCAGTGAAACTTTCAATTGGGTCTTATTACACTGAATAGACCATTTTCCATTCACTGCCAGATTCTGCGTGATGCGTGAAATCAAGCCTAAAAACAAGACAAACAAAATAATGATATTTTAACGCCATACTCCTCTCAGAAAGATAAGAATTTTGACATTGAAAAAAGAGAAATTCAAGATCATAATTCCAATTCCTGGTATTCGTTTCTTGCATCTTTTATACATTACGCCAGATCTCAAAGTAAACGAGAAAACTTGCCCTGCATATGTTGTTATGGGTAGATGTGGCATTCAGTACCATCCATGTTTGTGGAATATATCTGTGATATTTTAAGTTAAATTAAGATTTTAATAATGATTCAATTACAGCTGGTAAAAAGAAGAGCCGCAAGGGTCAGCATCGTCATTTCAATAACCCTGAAGAAATAGAGGCCCAAATGAAAGAAGTAGAAAGCAACAGATATAGGGTAAGGTTCTATATCTTGAAAAAGTTTACTGTGATATGTGCTAGAGAACATACCTTGTGCATATTTATACCATGTTGGCTCGTGATAGAAGTGTGCATAAATATTCTGACAAATCCATTGGTGGTTACCATTACTATTACAGCAAATATGTTATTTGATTTCATCTGGTTACAATTATTTTTTATTGCTGTGGTTTTTAATTTGACAATTTCATTTCAAATTATGCACTTATCAAATATAGTTGGGCTTTTGATATGCAAATCAGTGTTAATTCAAGATAGAGCAAAAGGGTGGTAGTCTTCATGTCAAGTAAGTATGAGATTTGCGTTGACGAACATTCATTTTCCCATAATTCAATGTGCTATCGAAATGGCAAGCACAAACATGAGTTTTGATATGGCCACAGTGTGCGCTAAATACCAACTTTGACTCTTTAGAATCTATTCATGAATGCCTGCTAATCATTAGTAGGAATTACCTTGTTACAGCCAGTGTTATTTTCCATCGTTCCAATGTTGCTAGGGAGATCAATTGAGGGATATCAGTTTATTTTGGCAGCTGATCTAAGTCAGTGTGGTAATGAAGATGAAGAGTAGCAATAGTATTGCTGCAATACACATCAACATAGTGACCACCAGCCAACCCTAAAGTTTTGTTTGGATTGCATTGTACTGTTTTGACTACTGTGTTGAGACATATGGCTGATGTTTTTATAATACAATCACTGCATGGTATGAATTCTGCTACAAAATCACATACAATAAAATTGTATTATTCGAATTTAAATATTATGTCTCTTAGGAACGAACTGAAATAGAAAGTGATTCGTCAGAGAGTGAATCAGATGATGAGGTAAGATAACAAACTTTTATACTGTTTTTTTAAATTGTGCATATTAAAAACCTTACATACAAGTGCACGTTGTGGCAACATTATTGAAATTTTTCAAGTTACTAATTGTTTGGAGAGCTACAATTTCTTTATATTGCATAATCACTGCATTGTATTTCTTTCATTGTGAGAAGTAAATTCCCTTGGTAGGTATGCGCATATCAGTGGTAATCATTATTTGCAACCAAATTGTATGTCTCTCTGCAGCCATGTACTGTTCTGATTCTGGACTGAGGAGATTTTTGCATTTGAGTCCTGGCTAAGCCAAGCTTTTTTGGTTGTTGGGCAAGATAATCAATTTGGTCTGCCTCTTCTTACGAAGCAGTTAATAAAAATTTTGCCTTCTAAAATTGTCTGCTAGTGATGATGCATGTTTCCCAATATGTGGAGACTGGTAGTTTACATCCAATTTAACCAGAGTAATAATGTATAATAATTATCATGAATTTTGGGTACTTAGTTTTACTTGAAATTTATTTTTGCTGAAGGGATGAATCGGTGAATATAAAATCCAGTAAAATTATCCTTTTTCTTATGTTTTACATTCAAGTCATCAAAATCTGTGGAAAAATCTCATACACAAAATAGTTCCACTTAAAATAAAGTATTTTACTGTAATTTATTATCTTTGTACACAACAAATATTTGTTTTCTACTAAATTTTCAGCATGGTGCTAAAAAAGGTGTTGAAGGGCTTATTGAAATAGAAAATCCTAACAGGGTGACAAACAAAATGAAGAAGGCCTCACAGTTAGATACAGAGACTGCGAGCAAGCCACAGCTCTCAAGACGAGAAAGGTGAGACTGATGTTGAGTAAATGAATAACAAACACACTTTAGAGAAGCAGTTCAATCTCAAAGAGTTTTCCATAGATGACAATTTTAAATTCGCAAAAATTTATCTCACAAAATTAAAGTGGTTTACAGTACCAATCAAACAATCAACTTGAAATGAATCCAAATCTGAATTAGAAACTGAGACATTATCATATGACATGAGAATTCTTTTTTTCTGGATGTTTTACTTGGTTAATAAGATTTAGATCCATTTGCATAGCTAATAACACATTTGAATAAATTTGCATGGCTAATAAGATAATCCAGAACATTGTTTATTTCTAATTAATATTGCTATTAAATTTTAATTTAGGGAAGAAATAGAAAAACAACAAGCTAGGGTTCGATATCAAAAAATGCATGCAGAAGGAAAAACAGATGAAGCCAAGGCTGATTTAGCAAGATTAGCAATTATACGAAAACAACGAGAAGAAAACGCTAAAAAGAAAGAAGAGGAACGGAAAGGTGAGACCAACGCCATATAACAACAACACTGGTATAACAACTTTTGAAAGAACATATTGTTAGAATAATTTATGTACCAACATACTGCGTCATCTTATAAATTCAGCCTTTCTTTATCTCACTGATTTTTTTTTCCATATCTTTTTCAGCGAAAGAAGCAAAGGCACAAGCTTCAAAGAAGAGATAATGTTGGCTAAAGAATGATTTTATTTACTGTTATTGGGAAGGCATGCAATGTATTTATTCCCTCTCACATCACTGTAAATCTGCAGTGGGTTATACCATGACTACCCTACATAGTAATGGAATAAATCAAATGAAGGGCGGGGTGTATGTTTTTAGGCTGGTTGTCGCTGGGCAGCATGTGAATTTAAACAATGTATTTTATGGGTGTTGTATACTGTAAAACATGTATAATAGCTACATGCAATTTTAGCTAATTTAACTCAATGCATGAATTAACAGAATCTTGAATTAGCTAAAGTGTCAACAATCTCATTGTGAAAATATTCTTTATTTTAAATTAGCTACGTTATCAATTACTCATTAGCTAAATTAGCTAAAATTAAATGCTGGCTAAAAAAAAAATCATGTTTTACAGTATGTTGCATGATGCACATAACAAAGGCCAACCAATATCCTAATTTAAATAGCCAATTAACCAACCAGGATTGGTAGTCACAGAAATAACTTATTAGGTTTTATGATTGGATAGGTTTGGTTGTTGATTTTTTGTTTCAGACAACCTTTGCAAGTTTATGAAATGTTTGTAAAATATGGCAAATGTATAATTGATTTATTGCACACTAATAAAACAGGACAAGTTAGTGACATCATGGTATACTGGTATATTGTAAATTACAAGACTCTCTGTGGGACAACTGTAAATGGAAATTGCAGCTAACAGTCTTACAATATAAAACCAAAGGTTGTAGGTGATTTTCTATTCACTGCGAACTATTCATGTTGTGTATTGTGTGAAAAGTACAGACTGAATGTCTCCGCAAGAATTTGAATTTCATTTTTTTTTTTAATAGCTCAATGACAAAATGGTGATCTTTGAGAGGAAAATATTGCGTAGAGATGCCCTTCTTTAAAATTGACCATCAGATTGTGTATAAGCACAATAAATGTAAAAATACCCACAAAATACTTTGTTTTGTTGAATCCCATGCAATGTTTTGGGGTCACTGCCATGCTATGACCTTTATTTGTCCGTTTTTCATGTTTAATTTCACACATATGCAGGATCTTGGAGTAAACGAAAAATTGGTTTATTGACCTGGAATGCACTCAGTGCTGTAAAAACCCCAGAGAACACAAAACAATAGACTTTGTCTCACTTTTTGGTACACAATCGCCCACCCAAGAGTAAACCAAAAGATCTAGTAAAATAGATTACAGGAGTATTTCTAGAAAAAGGGAGCACAACTATGTTACTATTGGTATTGCTCTACATTTGATCATAATCTATTGACTCTTCCAAGTTCGGTATGAGGGAGCTGCGCCCCTGTTTTCCTGTCTGGAAGAACCCCTGGATTAGACTTTGATAGGTGACCACAGAATATGTTGAATATTTTTTTTAAGTTATGGGATGCATTTTTTAATACAACGTAAAATGCCCTCTTATGTGTGTACAAGTGTTGGCCAACTTCTCACAGGCACTATCATTTCATATTTTAATATTTGTTTTATTGTTGCAATGAAACCTGTCTGAATGAGATCATCATTTGGTTTATAAAGAAAGATTGTTTATAGAGAAACAGGTCTTGCTGTGTTCATAAAATCACTGCCAGTGAAAGTGCATTAAAACGCTCGATTCATATCTAATATTAAATCATGATTACATAGAGCTATTAAATAAATGAACAGGTAGTAAAAAAAATGTTTTAGCCCGTCTTGCCAGTTGACAACCGTATTCCCCCCCCCCACCCCGCGCTCAAAAAAAAATGTCTGTATAACCCAATATTTGCCTGCAATATTAGGAATAAAATATGGATGAACTGTTAATTTATCTGGATTTTTCAGTTATTGGTCAATTTAAGAAACAAAGGTGATATTGTAAGAAAAAAAATAATAAAATTCATTTCTTACAAACGAGTTTTTGTTGATTTTTATAATGATCATATGTACATTGATACACACCCTACCTTACTCCACATGCATTGATTACCAGTACTACTATAAAGTGATAATAACCTGTGTATTGACTCTGATGTGATAATAACTGTGTGTATTGACTCCAATGTGATAATAACCTGTGTGTATTGACTCCAATGTGATAATAACTTGTGTGTATTGACTCTCATGTGATAACCTGTCTGTGTTGACTCTGATGTGATAATAACTTGTGTGTATTGACTCGCATGTGATAACCTGTCTGTATTGACTCCGATGTGATAATAACTTGTGTGTATTGACTCGCATGTGATAACCTGTCTGTATTGCCTCCGATGTGATAATAACTTGTGTGTATTGACTCCGATGTGATAATAACTTGTGTGTATTGACTCCGATGTGATAATAACCTGTGTGTATTGACTCCAATGTCATAACCTGTCTGTATTGACTCCGATGTGATAATAACTTGTGTGTATTGACTTCGATGTGATAATAACTTGTCTGTATTGACTCTGATGTGATAATCTGTGTATTGATAATGTTTGTGTATTGACTGTTATGATGTATCTACTGCGATAATCTGTAGTTGATTTGACCTTATTATGACGCATGCAGTGTGACCCATAGTTATGGGAATCAACTAGAAGTAGCCATGATTTATTTAATAGCTGTTTTTAAGGGAAGGAAAGATTGTGCCTTGGTGTTGAGGAAGGTGACAATGTAGATGGTTAGTGATTCTAGACTTTGGTAGTGAGAGGATCCGTTGAACTTCAAGTTTAATGAATCCTCTCACTAAGTGGAAGTAGGAGTTGTAGATTCATAGACTTAACCAACATTTTTCAATGTCAACAACACTTTTACAGCGGGTATGGGGCATTACCTTCTCAGATCGACGAACACTTTGTACCAACTACTAGTATACGACGGCACTGTCACACATGCATTGTGTAATACATAAGAACGACCTGAAGCATGCGCACTGTGTGCATAATATGCTAATAACTTTAATGAGTTTATGATGTAGACATATCTCATGAATATTATTTTAAGGTGCAATTATTAATAGAAGGCATTTATTATGAAATGCTGCAAGAAAATATTTTCGGTCTTTACCTCCACCTCCACTCCTTATACCATACTAAATTGGTCACTAACAAGTACTGCTGTGTCTTGTACTATCACAGGGAACCCGCTCATAGAGACTGCATACAGTCCATCTCTGCAAGCCACTAAAGATTTAAAAAATATACAGCGCCACCAGTGGCTGTTCCTAGCATACGCATGCAGCTTGTTGAATGTCTACATTTACCCTTTGACCCCTTCTGATCCAACTCTTCTGTGCCAGTTGGTTGGCTGCACTTGTTCATGCACTGTTGAATGTGTACAATACAGTTACATGAAAATATAAATTTTTCAGGTCATGTACCTTTTCTTTTTTGGGAGGGGGGGGGGGAGTTGTAAAAAAAAAAATTTTAAAATTAAAATAAAAAAAAAATTAAAAATTTCATTGATTTTGGGAAACCAATTGACCAGAAACAGACTTTCCTTGGAATAGGGTTTTATCGACTAAAAGCTGACAATGTTTTAAATCTGAAGTTTTATAAACATACAGTCATGACAAAAGATGTCACACCCAAGCATTTTTTTAGCCACTTCAACATAACAAGTTTTAACATGCCATGGCAACACTTCCTCATTTGTTTCCTTACAGTTGTCAATGCAGCCTTTGGACAACGGAGGTTTTTAGTCAACTGAGTTACAAAAACAAAAATTTACAAAAACGCAATTGCAATGGAAACTGAAAATAAGCAAAGTACTCTATGTAGTATACGCATATATTGAATATTTAATTTTCACTTATTCATTTTGACATATTTTAATTTGCTATAAAATGAAAATATGTTTTATTATTTTCTGATAAAATTTAATTTAATATAATTATAAATTTAAACAATTCTAAACTAATAAGAAAAATCCTCCAAATACATTTGTAGAAGAAATTTGAAAAAATAAATATTTAGTGCATGAACTTAAAATGACTCAATTCATCATAGTGAATTCTGGTAAGAGTAGCTCAATATTATAAAACCCTGTGTCAATTTTGCTAGAAAATAGAAATTATCAAATTAGTAAATATGAGGTTATTAACAGAATATTGGAATCTATGTCTAAGTTATTGTACATGAATGCATCAAAGACAATATTGACATGTACGAGGAAAAGTTCAGTGAATCATTCACCACTAGTCATTGTCAGTGGCACATTTGAAATTTGAATAATCAAATATCTTAATTTGCATAATTATCCGACTCTGCATTCTAATTTGCATAATTATTGAACTCTGCATCCTAATTTGCATAATTATTGGACTCTGTATTCTAATTTGCATAATTATTGGACCCTGCATCTTAATTTGCATAATTATTGGACTCTGTATTCTAATTTGCATAATTATTGGACCCTGCATCTTAATTTGCATAATTATTGGACTCTGCATTCTAATTTGCATAATTATTAGACTCTGCATTCTAATTTGCATAATTATTTGACTCCACATCCTAATTTGCATAATTATTGGATTCTGCATCCTAATTTGCATAATTATTGGATTCTGCATCCTGAATTCTGGTACGAGTAAGCTCAATATTATAAAACCCTGTGTCAATTTTGCTAGAAAATAGAAATTATCAAATTAGTAAATATGAGGTTATTAACAGAATATTGGAATCTATGTCAAAGTTATTGTACATGAATGCATCAAAGACAATATTGATATGTACGAGGAAAAGTTCAGTGAATCATTCACCACCAGTCATTGTCAGTGGCACATTTGAAATTTGAATAATCAAATATCTTAATTTGCATAATTATTTTAATCTGCATCCTAATTTGCATAATTATTGGACTCTGCATTCTAATTTGCATAATTATTGGATTGTAGCATTCAGAAAATATACATATATTTTTTTTTAAAAACATTTTTGTCTTAGATGACAGTCCTGAAAATTGAATGAACTAGCACTTCTATTTTTTGAATGTGTAATTGCAGGTAGCCACAGGAACCATGTTTGGGACAATTTGATAGGGCTGTGACCATTTACATAGTGCTGCATATATGTCTATAAATATTTATGCTAGTATTAGCAAGCATTATGTCAACATTCACAATAACTTTTACTAAAAAACAGTAAACAATTTCAAATATGTGAGAGATAAATTTGATTGAATACTTTTGAGACAGTAACATTTTTTTAAATATACTCCCCCAATAGTCCAAATCTTGTTATCATATTGAACAAAGTTTACAGCATTTAACAAGATGTAATCCCATTTAAGTTTTTCATCGATCTTCAGCTTATGTCTACAGCATACAGTTATTTGACAGTGTTGAGTGTTTCAACTGCAGTATGGAAGTATTTGTCACACAGCTAAGTTGGTTGAAATGGAGGAATAGCAGCGAATACTTCAGATCCTGAAAAAAAAAATATGCATTATAGAGCAAAAAATTATCATTACCACATTTCCTGCATTTTTGTTTTATTTTTAAAGATGGAAATGGAAATTTTCATGTATTTGCACATGTTGGATAATGATCATAAACACCCAGTAATAATAATTTAAAACATCATTTTGAAAAACAAATTGAATTGCTCTTATTATTTTTATGCCAGGCAAGAGTTTCAGAAATTTAATGTCACTGTTGTCTCCCTGACTTTATGTACAAATTGCAAAAAATACAATAATACCAAAATTTTAGAAAATATTATCACAGTTGATGATGATCATAATAAGGGACGACGTCAAAAGATCAATGTCAGATAAAAAACTTATTTCCTTTAGTTTGGGGGTGGGGGGTTTTGACCTCAAAAAGTTTCCATCCTACAAAAACGATTTTATTTTTTAATGAAGTCAAAAAAATTTTGGAGTATTTGTAGTTCGTTTTTTTCTATCCAATCATGGACAAAAATAACAGAAAATGAAACAAAACACATCCAAGACGAGAAAATGGTTTGCTTCGAGTGTAAATCTGTGCGTCAAATGAGGTGCATTTGTAAAATCTTTTTACACCCACCCGACAACCAACTGCTATGCAATACTACTGACCGATTATCAATTTGTATTTAATGGTGAATGTAGTCTGACGCCATGACCAATATTTATCAATTAAGTGTCAGTGGGGGGTAGGGGGTGTTGGAAAAAAACTAAAGGAATTAAGTTTTTTATCCGACATCGATCTTTTGACGTCGTCCCTAAGGTAGATCTGAGTGTGGATGTTCTGTACAACTGGTATATCAGCTGACAAAATATTACATATGAAATATTAATCATTACCTAGAACTGACTGTCGTACAGAACATTCGCCAAGTGAATGCTTTACCTGGCATTGCGTCATCCAGTCTGGAGGAGTCCATTGAGCCCACTAAGTGTGAGAACAGAATTATCACAGAATAAATTGTCAGAAAGTGTGGTAGATGCGAAACAATTTAATTGATTATACTGATAGAAATAAAAGTGGATCTACCGTAACACACTGGGTCTGAGGCTTATTGCACACAATGCAGGCATTTAATTAAGGTATATTAATGGCATTAAACCTACAAATTAGAGGTGAAAACCATTCTCATATTTTTTTTTTCTTAAAATTGTCACATGTATTGAATTGACACATGTCTTCAACTTTTCAGACAGGACTTTTTCCTCGTATGAAATATTGCAAAAAGATACAAAAATTAAAATTTTTATGCAACAATTATCATAACCATGCTAAATTATTATATTATCAAACAATTGAATAGTAATCATCTAAATGTCTATATAATAATTGTTGACAACTATAAGTTCGTTCTTATAACTATATACTGACTTTTTGATATTACATGTATATAACCAACAAAATTTTTGAGATATGAAGTTTTTACCATAGGAGTCGATAGGAAATAGCTTGAAAATCACCGTTTTCATGAATATTTTATGAATATTTGACCAATATTTTGTGTGAAAAGTAGTATGGTGACCATATATTTTTATCAATGTTATCTTGGTTTTGTAACAACTGCGAAAAACAAAAAAACATGGTGTAAATGTCACGAAAAATTTTACCATTTGTTTTAATAACCATTTGAGGCACATGCAGCACTAGTAATTATTTTATATTTGTTCACAAAACAAAGCCAGTATTTTGGCACACTCATTTTTTATGATTTAAAAAACATTACAGTATGTAAACGTTATCACAACAACAAAATTATTCAGTATTTGGAATGTCTCAATGAATATATCTCACCTGTTCATTTGACGTTGATTTGATTGCATCAATAGATAATGTAACTGTGATGTCTGGAGCATAGGGTACATCAACATCAACTGATATACAATAAGCACACTGCTGAAACAAAAAAAATGTTGTCAAATTTTTTTATGGTCAATTTTTTATGCTGTTATCAATTTGTAATTACACATTCCTTTTCATCATCAATTCACTTGCTTGATAGCTTCATTAAATGTTCACTCACCCACCCACCCAACTCACCCCAGTCACTCACTCACTGACCCACTCACTCACTCATCCATTAATTCATTCACCTAACTCACCCCAGTCACTCACTCACTGACCCACTCACTCATCCATTAATTCATTCACCCAACTCACCCCAGTCACTCACTCACACACCCACCCACCCAACTCACCCAACTCACCCCAGTCACTCACTCACTCACCCACTCACTCATCCATTAATTCATTCACCCAACTCATCCCAGTCACTCACTCACCCACCCACCCAAACCCAAACAAAAATCTACCCATGCACCCAGATTTTGCTTTACTGAAAATAAAAATGTAAATTACAAGTCAGTATACACAGGTACATATACAGACAACATTAACAGGGCATTATAAATGATAACTTACCCGAACTAATGAACCCAGAGTAGATGGTAGTAATGGAACTACATGGTCATTAGATGCCAATGTTTCAATCAGAGGTATATCAATTAATCTAAAAGAGAAATACTGATTAATTTGACCTGAAAACAACTTTTGCCTTTCAAACATAATTTTACATAAGACCTGTAGCCAAAATAAAATTATTTCTATTTGATACAAAATTAATACAAAAAATATATATTCATAAATATTACACCAAAAAATTACCTTTTGTGCATTTTATTTTTTTCAGACTTGGGGCAACCTTGTAGAAGACTTGCCCAGACGATCTCTGATGTTTTGGGAAAGACTGAGACAGGTGGTTTGCCATTGAAATCTTCCATTTCACTGTTGTCACTGTACACATCCTCTTCACTACCATTACCATTTCTCCACCATCCGAGTAAACGTACCACCCTTCTGAGCTGACAAAAAAACACATAATATATTTTATTACACATGTACTGCAGTTTATTTTGATTCATCCCTGAAATCTGTGAGCAAACAAAGTAGCAGAAATAAACAATATTTAGAAGTATGGGGTACATAAATATACTTGTCAAGTGAAATGAAATTTGAACAACAGTAATGGTACATTTAGCAGTCACTTATTTTGACTAAAACTAATTTGCATATCACCCATGCACTAATGTTTTCGGTATTTTCACAGCCCATATGCAAATAAACATTGTATTTCCATTGGAAACCAAACTATGCGGATACACTGCATTACTCATGAAAATAACTTCCATACGCAACAAAAGCCACGGAGAAGGTGTGCGGTTCTGTCATATTATTTATATATTTGTTATTTCGACATGCATATGTGACGTAATACAGGACAGATCAAGTCCATCTTGGAATCAATAAAGCGTATAATATTTTATTGCTTATTGGAGTACAAGAAGGCACAACAAATCTCATTAGGGATTCCCCATTTAAAAATTGGGTGGGTGAGCTAGAGGGTTCTTGAAATGTAAAAAATGTCAAGGTTGAACATAATTTAAATGTTGTCACGCTTACAGAATACCTAATTCTCAACCCCCCCAGATTGCAAATGGATAATCCCTATCTATTTCACCCAAATCATTCTATTCTGCAGACGACTGAACTTAAAAACAGAAAAATATTGTCTACTTACTGTGACTCTGATTACATCAATATCTTCTGTTGACTGATTGTCTATTAGCACCTCAAGCTTGGCAATGTCCCCCGAGTTGTAAATACTTTTATTTAATCTATTGGTATAAATAAACAATATAACATTTATTGACAACATTTATTTAAATAAATGAGTTCCCATTATTACATTAATGCCTAGATTGATGAAAATGTCTACAAAACGGCCAAATAGTCACCATATGCCATGTGACCAAATGACTACCATATGCCAACTGACCAAATTCCCAGTATATGCCTACTGGCCAATTTTCCACTATATGCCTACTGATCAAATTCCAACTATATGACAAGTTACCCAATTCTCGCTATATGCCGGCTGACCAAATTCCCACTATATGCCTACTAACCAAATTCCAACTATATGCCTACTGACCAAATTCCAACTATATGCCTACTTACCAAATTCCAACTATATGCCTACTGACCAAATTCCCACTATATGCCTACTGATCAAATTCCAACTATATGACAAGTTACCAAATTCCCACTATATGCCTACTGACCAAATTCCCACTATATGCCTACTGACCAAATTCCAACTATATGCCTACTGACCAAATTCCAACTATACGCCTACTGACCAAATTCCAACTATATGCTTACTGACCAAATTCCCACTATAAGCCTACTAACCAAATTCCTACTATATGCCAAGTGACCAAATTCCAACTATATGCCTACTGAGCAAATTCCCACCATATCCCAACTGAACGATTTCCAACTATATGCCTACTGAGCAAATTCCACCATATGCCAAGTGACCAAATTCCAACTACATGCCTATTGAGCAAATTCCCACCATATGCCAAGTGACCAAATTCCTACTACCGGGGATATATGCCAAGTGACCAAATTCCCACTATATGCCAAGTGACAATTCCTACCATGTGCCTACTGACCAAATTCCCACTATATGCCAAGTGACAAATTCCTACCATATGCCTACTAATCAAATTCCCACCATATGCCAAGTGACCAAATTCCTACTACCGGGGATATATGCCAAGTGACCAAATTCCCACTATATGCCAAGTGACAAATTCCTACCATGTGCCTACTGACCAAATTCCCACTATATGCCAAGTGACAAATTCCTACCATATGCCTACTAATCAAATTCCCACCATATGCCTACTAACCAAATTCCCACTGTATGCCTACTAATCAAATTCCCACTGTATGCCTACTAACCAAATTCCCACTGTATGCCTACTAACCAAATTCTCACTCTATGCCTACTAATCAAATTCCTACCATATGCCTACTAACCAAATTACCACCATATGCCTACTAACCAAATTCCTACCATATGCCTACTAACCAAATTCCCACTGTATGCCTACTAACCAAATTCCCACTGTATGCCTACTAATCAAATTCCTACCATATGCCTACTAACCAAATTACCACTATATGCCTACTAACCAAATTCCCACCATATGCCTACTAACCAAATTCCCACTGTATGCCTACTAACCAAATTCCCACTGTATGCCTACTAACCAAATTCCCACTGTATGCCTACTAACCAAATTCCTACCATATGCCTACTAACCGAATTACCACTATATGCCTACTAACCAAATTCCCACCATATGCCTACTAACCAAATTCCCACTGTATGCCTACTAACCAAATTCCCACTGTATGCCTACTAACCAAATTCCCACTGTGTGCCTACTAATCAAATTCCTACCATATGCCTACTAACCAAATTCCCACCATATGCCTACTAACCAAATTCCCACTGTATGCCTACTAATCAAATTCCTACCATATGCCTACTAACCAAATTCCCACTGTATGTCTACTGACCAAATTCCCACTGTATGCCTACTAACCAAATTCCAACTACATGCCTACTAACCAAATTCCCACCATATGCCTACTAACCAAATTCCCACTGTATGCCTACTAATCAAATTCCTACCATATGCCTACTAACCAAATTCCCACTGTATGTTTACTGACCAAATTCCCACTGTATGCCTACTAACCAAATTCCAACTATATGCCTACTAACCAAATTCCTACCATATGCCTACTAACCAAATTCCCACCATATGCCTACTGACCAAATTCCCACTGTATGCCTACTAACCAAATTCCAACTATATGCCTACTAACCAAATTCCCACCATATGCCTACTAACCAAATTCCCACTGTATGCCTACTAATCAAATTCCTACCATATGCCTACTAACCAAATTCCCACCATATGCCCACTAACCAAATTCCCACTGTATGCCTACTAACCAAATTCCCACCATATGCCTACTAATCAAATTCCCACTGTATGCCTACTAATCAAATTCCCACTGTATGCCTACTGACCAAATTCCCACTGTATGCCTACTAATCAAATTCCCACTGTAT